CAACCACGTCACTGTTCTTAGGACATGTAAAGATTTTTTTTAATGAATACAAATGACGAATAAATAAAATTGAAATTAGAATGTAATCGAGGTTAAGAAAATATATGCACGACAAATTTGCATGCGACATTAATTTTTGCACAATTTGTTTTTATATCTACACGCATATTTGTGAAAAAAAAATCAAAGTATGGCTTTTATGTGTTAAAAGAAAATAACAAAATATATTTTTTGTAATATATGTTTTTATAATGTATGATTGATTTTTTTAAAAAAAATACATATATTTATGCATGTAGGTATGAGTTATAAATAAGTGAATTGTAATATTTAGGTGTTGGTTAGTTTTTCTGATATTTTTCGCAAATGTTACGATTTTACACGATACAGTTTTTGGCGTTTACAACAATCATGAAAACCGTTTCTATCATTTTGTTTTTGATCAAAAAACTTTAATTTTCAGCATTTTATGATAGTATATGATTTCTCAATTAAAATTATAATAAAAATTATTATAAAATTTGTGAATTATTATTCTATAAAATTCTCCGGTAGCTCTCCGCTCATCTCTTCGTCAAAATTTGTATAGCTCGCAATCGCTCGCTTTTACAAACTCTCTGTAACCGCAGCATTTAAACCAGTCGGATCCTAAATTTATATGTGTATGGTTCAAAGTGTAAAATAATATATTTAATATTTAATTATTATATTAAAAAATAAGAGTTCTTATATTCCTAACTTTGATATATGTGTTAATCTTATATATAATGGATCATAACATAAACAAAACTTGATTCATGAAATAATGTTTTAAGATGTTGAAAAAAATATATGCATGAAAGAATTAATATGTGCAAAATAATATTTATAAATATTTCAAAATAAAAATATATGTATGAAAGAATTAATATGTGCAAGAATTAAAATCGATTAAAATTATTCTTTCTTTTGTCTTTTTTGACTCATATTTTTTTCTTAACCTTAAATAAGATATTAAATATTAAGGTCATCTCCAATGTATTTTTCTATTTTTTCCTCTTAAATACAGTAGATTTATCTCCAACCTATTTTTATTTTAAAGGAAAAACAATTGTTACTTTTTCCTCCAATTATAGAAAAAAAAATAACATCACTATTTTTTCTCTAAATTAGAAGATTTAAAATAAAGGTGGATTATGGATGCTTTAAACCAAAGACATAGCCTAAGATTTTTACAGAAGACTAAAATCGTAAAGATTAATTTTTACTTTTTACTTCTTATTCATATATTTATTTATACCAAATCAAATTTATAATAAATATTTGTTATAAATTTATGAAACTATATTTTATAAAATTCTCTGGTAGCTCCCTGTTCATCTCTTTGTCCAATACTGAGGAATTGGTTTGATGAAGAAAATAAATTTCTTATTGTTGGTCTGCACATATGTATTCACTATAAAATTTGAGCTACACATGTGTTTATTATAAAATTTCTTTTTCAAGATTTTTAAATGGCTCTGTAAAATAAAGTTTAAGAGTGTTTTGGAAAAACAAAACTGTAGAGATTTATTTTTATTTTTACTTCTACTTCTTATTCATATTTGTTTTTTTATTTATAATTTATTTTTTCATCCGGTTATATTGCGTTTTATTTCTGATCTTAAATTCTCGATCGACAATGAGACTATATATGAGTATGATATAAACTTTTAATTTATTTAAAAAAAAGATAAGAGATAAAATGAGGTTGTAATGTAAGCTACGCAAATTCCAGAAAACAATAATATAAAAATTTTAAAAAATTATATACAAATAATAACATATCATACTCCCAACATTATTAATATATAGCTTATATACTATCTTATTGGATAATCTATTATTATTTTTCTATATAAAAATATAAAATATATATTGGTTGTAAAATTTTTGTAATCATATTTTATACAATATATTATGAATATATGTAAAATCTTATTGAAATCATAGTAATTTATTATTTTTAGTGTTATAATCTAGTGTATTTATGTTATAATTTTATAATTTAGTTAATTATAAGTCAACAAATCAAAACATCTATACTATTAAAAGAGGATCCTATTTTTAAATTAACCTTTAGTTACTGTATTATTTACAATATATGCCATTAAATTTCTATAGATTCGTTAAGAGTAATTTAGTCTTATCATTAAATTGTTAACAAATACATTATATTAAATTAAATTATATTAAATTGTTAACAGATAATATCAATAAATTATGTCTGATATTAATAAAATTCAAATTAATTTAAATTTGAATTATTTTAAAATCTTTCATAATATCTTAACATAACTATCACATATATTTGACATGAATAACTAATATAATTATATATATTATATAATAAATTAAATATATATTATATTATAATCAATTTCTACTCTATAGTATTAAAAGAAAAAAGCACTATTTTAAAATGTTTAAAAATTATTATGGTATTTACTAAATGTGAAAATTTATAGTCAATAATGAATATATAATTATTATTTTTGTTATAATATATTATATTATAATCAATTTCTTCTCTATAGTATTAAAAAAGCACTATTTTAAAATGTATAAAAATTATTATGGTATTTACTAAATATGACAATTTATAGTCAATGATGAATATATAATCATTATTTGGTTACATATATACATACTATGTTAAAAATATTATGTAAATAATTTAGTTTTTCTGGTTTGGTAATGATTTTTTTGGAAAATTATGGGTTTGCGGATTTGACAAACATAATTTTGTAGATTTTACGGATTTTACAAATTTTAGCGGGTTTTATAAATTTTAGCAGAAAATATAGTTTTCCGAAAAATGTCGGGTTGACAACAAATGTGTTTTTGTAGATTTAGCAAAAACACATAATTTTTGAAATTTGGTCATAAATAATGATTTTGCAGATTTTACGGGATTTACGGGAAAATACGGGTTTGCAAAATGCGAATAACGTAATTTTGCGAATTTTATGGGTTTTACAGGTTTTAGCAAGAAAATATAGTCATACAGGAAAATACGGGTTTGTGAGTTTGGCAGAAACACATGAGTTTAGAAATTTGGTCGTAAACACACAATTTTATGAATTTTACAATATTACGGTCACGGGTTTTTGTGGATATGACGGAAAACCTGATTTTACAGATTTTACAAAGGTTACATGTTTTTGCGGGTTTTATAGGTTTTGATGGAAAATTATGGTTTTATGAATTTTATTGAAAATGCAGATTTGCGGGTTTGACGACAAAATGCAATTTTGCAGGTTTGACAAAAACTACTTAATTTTAGAAATTTAGCCATAAAATACGATTTTATAGTGTTGGGGGAAAACATAATTTTTGGTTTTGTTAAAAATGTGGATTTACAGTTTTGGCAGGAAAATACGGTTTGATGGAAAATGTTATTTTTACAGTTTCTACCGGAATTTTCGGTTTTGGTACAACAACGTGATTTTACGATTTTGTGGCTTTTTATTTCGACAGAAAAAATGGTTTTGACAACAAAAAAACTTAATTTTGTGGTTTAAATTAAAAATGTTTTTACCTATTAATTTTTAAGATTCAAATGCTACATCAAATCTCTATTATTAGTATTTTAAATATCTAAATTTTGAGATATTATAGAATTTGTATTCAGATAAAATATTCATATATTGATTTAAAAATATTTAAAAGAACAGTATTTGAGAGCATTTGCATCCAAATAAGTATCTAGAGTCAAAAACAAACAAAGTTTAGGAATCTTAATTAGAATCAAATAAAATCTCTCTTGTATTATAAAACATAATATTTTAAAATATTTGTTACAAAACTTAACAAAAAATCCTCTAGTCAAATTTTATTTTTATATAAATTCAAGCTTGACTAATTTTAAGAACATAAAACCATAATGTTAAAATAGTTTATATAATCTAATAAACAAATTCTGTTTGGACCACAATTTTAGATTTAATAATATAAGCTACATTTTTTTGAACAAAAGTTTACTATAAACCGATTTTTGCTATGATCCAAATAAATTTTATAAAAGAAAACCCGTGCAAGTGCGCAGGTCCAAAATCTAGTTTTTTTATTTTAGGAAATTTATCATGTCATATTTCCATGTCACCATTAATTTACACTAATTTTTGCTAATGTGATGACACATCATATTTTTTCATTAAACATGCTTCTCAAATAATAGTTAATATGGGGTATCTTAATGGATATCTGAACACTAAAATAACAGAAAAAAAGAGAAAGAAGTGAGATGAGGTAGAAACCCCTTCGGACTAATGATCTATCAAAAATTTATTAATATTTCTATATTAGGAGGTCTGAGTTTCAAATCTCATAAAGTGCGATTTATTATTAATTATATAGATTAATAAAGAATAATGCAAATTAATAGAAGCAAACTTACAAGAGATCTTCAGCGTGGTGCAACCAGAATCGTGAGGCGTAAATTTTCATATGATGATGGTAAGCGTGGTGCAGATAGAGTTGTTAGTCATAGATCTTCATAAGATAGTACCGTTGTAGAATCGTTGATGTAACAGTTCTCATAATTTGCAATAGATTAATAAATCAGTATTATAAAAATAAGTGAGATAAGGTTCTCATTTGAAATATCCATGAAAAAGAATTGAGAACCCCTCATAGTTATGTGTCTTTTATTCATTGGCTCAAAGTTTTTATTTAAATTAAATCTACAATTCTAATATATGATTATGTTAAAATAACAAAAAAGAATAAAAATTTAAGAACCCCAAAGGATATCTTACCATTGGAAATGTTCTAATAGATCGATACATATTAAATTGGTTATTTTTATTCCTAAAATTTCTATTTTTAATTTATTAAAATCTTATTTTATGTTAAGAGTTTTATAATTTGGAATGAGATCCATGAATAAATGATAAAATCATTTTCATAGTATTAATATACATAACTGACTGAATACCTCTAAATTAATATTATGTATATATGCATCTTTAATAAAGGTAATGAAGATTGTATTTCTACATTTATTCATTTAACATGACAAGCATATCTATAAAACCCATAAGTCTTTTGATTTTTTTCACTTCTTACACAATGGCTTACAATTCTGTCCTTGCAGTTATAATTTTAAGGTAAGAAGGCATACTGTAGATAATCGTATAGGTTATGAAACGTTTATGTTCGATGTTCATGTTATGAGATTAATAGATAGTTTTTTTCATTCGTTTGATATCCTCATATTTGTGTAGAATACGACTATATTGTTTTTTTTGACAAATGGATTATATAATAAATGGAATGATTGCTTGGGTTTCTTGGTGTCACTAGGTTGAACGCAATCTTGGAAAAGATTGGAAACGCAGAGGAGATGAATGAGATTGCATACAAAGGATTTTATCTTCCCATGGAGATTTTACTTGACATACTATCTCGCCTTTCACTGAAAGACAACGTTCGTGCTTCTTCTGTTTGCAAGGCATGGCATGAAGCTGCTGTTTCGGTTCGGCGTAACTCTCCTTGGCTTGTGTATTTCAACATTAGCCGAACTGGCCATGGCGTCTCTTTCGGGTTTTACGATCCAGCGGATAAGATTAAGACCAAGTCGATGAAGCTACCTAATCAACCCTTTCACGCAAGTCTCTGTTACTCTAAAGATGGGTGGTTACTACTCTTGGTAGATTACCATGGAAGCAACAATAGATTAATCTTCTTCAATCCATTTACTCGAGTGCACATGATGCTGCCAAGTTTGATAACAATTGAAACCTTTGGAGCTGACTTCGCTTTCTCTTGTGCTCCTACAAATGAGAGCTGTGTGGTGTGTTGCATTAGTAATCGCACACCAGATAGTTTTCTAATCCACACTTGGTGCTTCGGTGCAGCTGAATGGGTCACCGAGGAGTTTCATAAACCATCAGCTTCAAGATATCGTGGAAGAAACAATATCATATTCTCTGATGGCTGTTTTTGGTTTCCAGATGAAGATGGTCTAGGAGTATTCCATACAGTTACACGTACGTGGGATACTCTTTATGTACCACTACGGAAACTAATTCCCTTTCTGATGTTTATTACAGAATACAAAGGAAACATCTTTCTGGTAGCTGTTGTCTCTAATAGAAGTCAGAAAGGAGTCGTCTTGTTTGGACTTAACCAGTTTGGGTTGGTTTGGGAAAAGAAGGAAACATTTGATGGTTTGTCCATCTTTATTAGTGATGAATCAAGCATTATAACAAATGGGCTCACTGGAGATATGAGTGACATTGTGTATGTGTGGGATTCTCATTTAATACCGTTTTGTCTGTCCAAATTCTCGTTATCTACAGGGAGCTTATGTACGGTCCTTGACGGCCACAGGATGTCTACAGGGACTTCAGCCAACGACAGTGAGGAAATGCATTTTGGCGCCTGGATCGAACCGCCCCAAGACATCAATATCTATGACTTTCCCATTATAGAGCCTTAGGCAAATTAAGTCATCTATGTTTCTGAGTTTTGAAATTTAAGTTTTCATATAGTACTTTTACCTAATTCTTATCGTCTAAACATCTACACGGAAATGTGAGGCTGACATTTCCCAAGAATCTACCAATTCATCGAAAAAACTGTAAAATATCAATTCTGATCAGAATAAAAGAGTTGTGGTGTTTAGAACACCATGACTCAAGGGTTGTGTTGAGAACACCATGGCTTGGACATATTATCTGTTATATTTTATTCCATTTGTTATTTGCTTCTATTCCATTAGAAAGATCTGGATGCCTATAACAATTCAAAGTAAATATTAAGGTATAGTATTCGTTTAAAACAAATCAAATTGTAAATACTAGTTTCTGAAATTTTAATATCTGCTCTGATTCGTAAATTATATATACCGATTATATCATAAATTTATAATCTTTATATACAATATAATTATCTATTAAATGAATAGAAAATTTTTAAAAATAATATATATGATAATTTACATATAATAACTTAGTAGTAATTAATTATATTAAAGTTTTAAATTGTTAATTTTTTTAGAATGTAAACCACCATTTTTAACTATTATAAATTGTTTATTATAATCATTTTTAAAAAAAATTTGTTTCATTTATTTTCCATTTGATAGTTCAAAAAAGTTCTTTCTATTCCAAAATTTTAATTCTAATTCATCAAAACTCTATCAAAAATATCTATTACAAAAAAAAACAGTTTGACTAGATTTGAAAATATAAACGAACCGAAAACTGACACCTTTTTTCAATAAGCCGACACATATTTGATTTCTTTCTATTCTAAATTTATATTTCTAATTTTTTAAAATCCTATAAAAAAAAACCTATAAAACAACTTTGACTAGATTTCAAAACTAATAAAATATAAGCAAATCAAAAACCCATATTTATTTTTAACCGACACGTAATTGGTTCTTTCTATCATAAAAACTTGTATTTCTAATTATTCAAAATCCTATTTTAAGTAAAAAAATTATATAATTTGGAATGAGATCTAAGAACTTTTAAAATAAATAAATTAAATAACAAAATCGTTTTAATATACATAACTGTACGAAGGCCTCTAACTAACTAATATTATGTATGACGATTTATATGAGTTTTGATAGGATAATGAAGATTGCATTTAGATATTTGATACGACAAGTGTAACTATAAAACCCACACAAGTCTTTTCTTGTTCTTCATATCTTACCAATGGCTTACACTTCCGTCTTTGCAGTCATAATGTTAAGGTACTATAGATGATTGTTTAAGTTTGTTGTTCATGTTATGAGATAAAATAGGATCAAGGAATTGTTAGATGTGATCTCATAATATCTTGCCATCTCCTGAAAAACACAACATGCATGCTTCGATTTGAACATAATTCTTTACTTCAGTTCATTGATGGATTTTCTCATATTTTTGTTAGAATTGTACGTTAAAGTTTTACAAATACGACTGCATTGTTTCTTGACAAATGGATCATATAATAAAGGGAATGATTGTTTGGTGTCACTAGGTTGAACGCAATCTTGGAAAAGTTTAGAAAGGCGGAGGTGAAGAATGAGATTGCAAACAAAGGATTTTATCTTCCAATGGAGCTCTTACTTGTAATACTATCTCGCCTTTCACTGAAAGACAACGTTCGTGCTTCTTCTGTTTGCAAGGCATGGCATGATGCTGCTGTTTCGGTTCGGTCTAATTCTCCCTGGCTTGTGTATTTTAACACTACTCCAACTGGCGTCTCTTATGGGTTTTACGATCCAATGGAGAAGAAAAAAACCCAGTCCATGAAGCTACCTAATGAACCATTTTACACAAGGCTCTTTTACTCCAAAGATGGGTGGTTACTACTAAGTGTATATTACCATAAAGCTGAACCCCCTAGATTAGTCTTCTTCAATCCATTTACTCAGGCGCACATAATTCTGCCATCAATTAAAACCTCTCGAGCTGACTTCGCTTTCTCTTGTGCTCCTACAAACGAGAGCTGTGTGGTGTGTTGCATTAGTAATCGCACACGACATCGATTTCTCATCCACACTTGGTACCACGGTGCAGCTGAATGGGTCACCGAGCTGTTGCATATACCGTTACTTTCAAGATTTCGTGGAAGAAACGATATCATGTTCTCTGACGGCTGTTTTTGGCTTGAGGATCGGCATGGTCGACTAAGGTTATTCGATCCAGTTGCACGTACGTGGGATACTCTCAGTGTACCGAAAGTACTCCCCTTTCTCATGTGTACTACAGAACACAAGGGAAACATCTTTCGAGTTAGTTTCTTCTATGAGAGTAACCAGAAGCGACTCGTCTTGTTTCGACTTGACCGGTCCATGTTGGTTTGGGAAAAGATGGAAACGTTCGACGGTTTGTCCATCTTTGTCAGCAATAACTCAAGCATTGTGACAAATGGGCTCGCTGGAGATATGTGTAACATTGTGCATGAGTGGAATTCTCATTTAGACCCGTATCGTCTGTTCAAACACTCGTTGTGTACAGGAAGTTTATGTACGGACAAAGACGACCCTGGTCTTGACTCTTCAACCAACGGTGAGGTACTACGTTCTGCCGTCTGGATCGAGCCGCCCCATAGATCTTGACGGTAATGAGGTAATGCATTTTGGCGCTGGGTCGAGCCGCCCCAAGATATCTATATCCAAGACTTTCCGGATAAAGAGCCCAAATAGGCAAAATTAAGTCATTTATGTTTCGGAGTTTCGAGATTTAAGTTTTTAAAATAATACTTTTTACCTCATCAATTCTGATCGTTAGATAGCTCTGTTGGCTTCTGCAAAAGAAAAGAAAAGAAACAAAGTTCTAGATTCAAGAAAGCAATTTTTCTTTTATTTTTCAAATAACTACTTAAGGAATATCACTCTCTACATTGAGAGATATAATATCAGGCTTCGGCAGATTCAGCCATTAGTTCTGCTCATTTACATTGGAGACATTTAAAACACTCTTTGCTGTGCCCATTCCACAGTAGAAACTAAGATACCTGAACTTTCTTGAGCCATCCAAATCTATTCCACAATTTTGAAAACTTCTCTGCATCAATCTGGCGAAATTCAACCTTGAATCTTAGGCTCCATGCGTTATCGGGCAATCTCACGAGATTCTTGCATTCCACAAATCTCAGCTCTTCAAGAGCAGTCAGATATGAAATGGAGGAAGGTAGCTCTTTAATGCCCGTCCTGCTTAGGTCCAGAGACTTTAAGCATTTCATCTTTCTCGACAAGTCTGGAAACCGCTCAAGACTTGTGCAGCCTGACAGATTCAGCGTTTTGAGATGCTTCAACTTGCAAATGCTGGTTGGAAGATTCACGAGACGTCTACTATTTTCCATGTCCAGTTTCTCAAGCAGTACCAAGTTCTTGATCGATGAAGGTATTTCTTGTATCATAGTCCCACCCAAATACAGTTCTTTCACATTCGGTGAGATTTCAAGGAAATTCTCTAGCTTCGAGCAGCCAGAAAGATTCAGAACCTCGAGAAATTCTAGATCGACCGTGGATGGAACACTCACCAGATTCGAGCAGTCCTTCAGATTTAGAAAAAAGAGCTTTCTAAGATTACAGATAGATTGGCTGATGCTCACCAAACTGTTGCAACCTTCAAGATCAAGAAGTTGGAGATTCGGCGCTCTTGAAAGTCTTGGGATTTTAGTTAACTGGTGTGAATAGCTAAGTCTCATCTTTCTAAGCTTCTCCAGACTCTGCAAAAGGGAGAAACAAACATCAGAAATCATATCTAGTAGAGTAGTACAGTAATCGTGAACATTACCTTCTTTCCTTTCCAATGTTTCTTTGCACAGCTATTTGTCAAGTTAAGCTCTACAAGGTTCTTTGGATGAAAACTTTGGGGCAAGGAGCTTAAAGAATAAAATTCCCAGTGAAGAAGCCTTAGCTTACTTGGCAATTATTCAAGACCTTGAGGTAAAGACACTCCACGGTTCTCTATCACTTCGGAGAAATAAAACTTTAACAGTCTGAAGTTACAAATTTTCTCGAATACATTGGGATTCGCATCGAATTTCACCTTCGACATGTCCAGGAAAATCCCCTCAATAGCTAATGTGCCCTGAAAACCAAGAGAAAATTAAAAAAGTTACCCAGAACAAACCTAAGTGACTTAGGGACAACACAGTCAACAGACCAAAGATTGTCCTGATTGTTGGATAATTCCAGTAGCTTCTAGAGTAAGTTATCTTTAGGAGTAGCTAAAGATATATAGAATAGGAAATATCAAGAATAGAAAAAATGAGTTTTTCATTCCTAATAGAACAAAGAGTTGTTTGATTCTATAAATAGAGAGCTTGTGGAGAGTTGTTCCACAAGACATAAGAGAGAGGTTTAGTTTTTGTGAAGTTTTCTAAATCTAATAACGAAGAGCAGTTCTTTATACTTTTGTGTTTGAGATTATCGACTTGAATTGGTATCAGAACTTCAAGGAGGAAGCCTCGGACCTTGACAATTTGGTGAACCAATAATGGCGGACGTGAATCAACCACAACCGCGAGCTAGGGAAATTGGAACTTCATCCATCCAATATCCAATGCTTTGATAGGGTCAGGTTTTACCCAAATAAAACTACTGCAAGTGCACAGCAAAAGCAGTTGTAGTAAAAGGGGTTATCGAATCCAAAGAGAGTATGTAAACCACACTAGCGATTATAGATTCAGATTAAGCTAAGCGATAAATAATGAATGTAATGCAAAACAGTAAAATAAATGCAAGAGGGCGTTTTTATGCTTGTTCTTAAAGTTCAGAAGGCTAAAGGCGCTAAGTCAGGACAGTTCGCAGGGTGAATCTAAGAGTGTAGAATGCATGCAATCAAGAATGAATTAAAACCGTCTTGAACATGAATCGCAAAGATATAACTAATCAATTCTCATTGCAGAAGTTATCTATGTCTAAATCACAGAGTTTCAAATCTCTTTGCAAACCCTAACAACCTAAACATGCAGTAATGATCAGGTTCAATTGTTCACAAAACTCCTAAGCCAAATCTCTTTGTACTAGGGCGTTTTGCTCATCTAATACTAGTTCAGGTGATTAATAATGCTCTCACATCTATCAAACAACCTAGGGTTTCAAAATCCAGATGATGTGTCTAAGAAATCGATATGAATGCAAGCACAGATGAAGAACCAATGAATTTCCTAGAAGTTTTTAGCAATTCTACAAACTCTTCTTCAACCTTTGAAAAGCCCTAACTTAACTAACAAACTACTCAGACATGGTGATTTAAGAAAACATCATGAAAAGAATAGATTGCATAAAAGAAATAAGAAATAGAAATAAAGGAGTTCAAAATCTGCTCTGAAAGAGTCTGATTTGTCTCTCCAAAAGCTCTTCTACAAATCTCTCTCTAAAGCTCTCCAAAATAATAAGATACAAGATATCTGCCAAAAGAATGGCTGAAAAACCTAATATACAAGCTAAAACACGATCTGGGGCCTTTTTGCAAAAACTGGAACTTCTGGACTAAAACTGCAATTTTTTCCTAATCTTTTAAAAACAGGCCACGACCTCTTTCCTTGGTGGGTGACGAGCGTCACCAGATTGGTGACGAGCGTCACCCATATGCATACTTTCTTCTTCGAGCTGGATACTTTGTGGCTTCAACTTGCAATGCTCCAAAAGGCTCCAATATCTCCAGTTATGCTCCAGACATGCTATAACCTGCAAAGACTCTTCTAGGACTCTAAAAATACCAAAAAGACTCAATAAAAAGAACTTATATCATGGTTAAAAAACATAAAAACCATGATATATCATGCTTACATCGACAAACTATACAGTTTGGTCGATGAGGATGAGGGTCACGAGTCAATGAAGTGTGGGACACAATCGATCCGGGGTTAGCTGATCTGAAGAAGAACTATGCGGCGATAGCTCTTCTCTTCCAATCAATCCCGGAGTCATTAATTCTTCAAGTGGGAGAACAAGAGACGTTGAAGGGAGTATGGGACGCCATTAAATCACGTCATCTCGGAGCAGACCGTGTAAGAGAAGCAAGACTTCAAACCCTAATGACGGAGTTCGATAAATTATCATTGAATGATAACGACACCGTTGATGACTTTGCGGGAAGGATATCTGGACTTGCTTCGAAGGCAGCTTCCCTCGGCAGCGTGATTGAAGAACCCAAGATGGTGAAGAAGTTCTTGAAAGGACTTCCAAGAAACAAATATATACAGATCGTCGCATCGCTGGAACAAGTTCTGGATCTAAACTTAACGGGGTTTGAGGATATTGTAGGAAAATTAAAAGCATATGAGGAACGTGTAGGTGAAGTATCACAAAGCGACGATCAGAATAAGTTGATGTGGTCTAGCAATGACCACAACAACCGTCAAGAACAGAGCACCCGCGGAGGACATGGAGGTTCCCGAGGGAGATCGAGAGGCGGTGGCAGAGGCAGAGGTCGAGGTCGCATAAACCAGAGCTCAGGAGGAGGAAACAAAGACAATGCTCAAAGTCGAAAAAGGGATATGAGCAAAGTATTGTGTTATAGGTGCGACAAGCCAGGGCACTGTGTATCAAACTGTCCAGATTTGCCGAAGAATGAAGAAGCAAATCTGAATGAGACTCAAGAAGCCGAAGCCCTGTACATCCACGAGCTAGTGTTCTTAAACGAGGACAAAGTGTTTCCAGAAAAATATGATATCATCGAAGACAAAGAAAGCATATGGTACTTAGACAATGGCGCCAGTAATCACATAACGGGAAATATAGTGTATTTCTCAACCTTAGATGAGAAGATCAAAGGAAAAGTCAAGTTCGGTGATGGGTCCAATATCGAGATTATGGGGAAGGGCACCATTGTTTTCATAGGGAAGAATGGAGAGAGAAGAGCTCTGAAAGATATCTATTACATTCCTGATTTGAAACATAATATCATCAGTCTTGGACAAACAACCGAGAATGGTTGCGAAGTTAATATGAAAGGCGACAAACTGAAGCTCATAGACCCGCACGGAAGACTACTCGTACAAGTACATAGATCAGCGAACCACCTCTACAAGACACGAATGGATATAGACTACCCCAAGTGCTTTCAGATTCAAACCGATGATATCACAAAAACTTGGCACACAAGACTTGGGCATATAAGTTTTGGCGTCATGGCGAATATGGGAGGATGGCAATGGTAGTGGGAATGCCAGAAAAGCTACTTGAGACAGGAGTATGCGAGGCATGTCTCTCGGGTAAACAAACAAGGACCCCGTTCCCGATCAAAACTACCTTCCGTGCAACACAAGCACTCGAGCTGATCCACGTTGACTTGTGTGGACCTATTTCTCCACCAACACCAGCCAACAACCGATATGTCTTTGTACTTATCGATGACTATTCACTGTTCATGTAGGCTCTGTTATTGAAAGAAAAGAGTGAGGCTTTCAATCGCTTCAAAGGATTTAAAGAAATCGTGGAAAAGCAAACAGGTTTCACGATCAAAACCCTTCGAACCGATAGAGGAGGAGAGTTTACCTCGCTCGAATTCAACAGATTCTGTGAAGAGAATGGCATAACACGACATCTAACAGCATCATACACACCGCAGCAGAACGGCGTAGTAGAGAGGAGAAACCGGA